CAATCAATAAACTTCAACAGTCCCTTCTTTGTCATCCCTATCTTCCAGATAGAATCATTGAGTCCCGTGAAGAATTATGCCCTTATTCCTTTTGAAAACTACGTACGAAAATGAGTGGACTCTATCCCATTGGTGTTTCAGTAAAGAGACGTGCTCGCAGGTTTTGTCTTATATTTCCTTATGTCGAGAAAAGTATACTACTTCTCTCTACCGAAGGAAGTATACGTGCAGTCCAGCGACATACGAGCTATGTGCGGCGGGTTCATAAGTTATCCAGACCCTCGCAGTACTGGTATTAATAATGCGTGTCCCCCTATCATTTAAAAACCCCTAATCGGTTTTTTATTTACACCGAAATGCTGTGCCAATATTAACCCCGGTCGCCTTTTCCGTCGCAATGCCTGGATTTCGAAACCCAAAATATCCTCCCCAGGTCCTATAGGCCAGGGGACCTATAAGACCCTATAGTGATCCTATAGGATTCTAAAGGATCCTATAGGTTCTTCGTGTTTCAAAAACCTATAGGAAAGTTTATAAGTTTTTTCGAAACCCAAAATATCCTCCCCAGGTCCTATAGGTCAGGGGACCTATAAGACACTATAGTGATCCTATAGGATTCTAAAGGATCCTATAGGTTTTTCCTGTTTCAAAAACCAATAGGAAAGTTTATAGGTTTCCTATAATAAATAGCTAAAGGTTTCCTATAGGACATTTCCGTAAGGGTCGTGATGAAAACCCAAAGAATTTTTTGCATCTAGGCATGCCGATTTCCCTATTTTAACTTGGAAAACACACAAAAAAAAACACTGAGAAACCCCAAGCACGATCCCAGCTCTGCCTGTCGGCTCCTTCAAGCTCAAACTCCTCCACGAAAGAAACCATGCGAACGTGGGAAATTGTATTCATAGCAAGAAAGGCCACGAAACGCTGAAACCCTTCGAGGAAACTTGCACGGATCGATCCCGTCGGCGAGGCGTACTCGTGCCTGCATTATTCATGCATTATTCATGCTCGCTCGCGTCATTCCTCGAGAACTCATCCTTCTTTATCGCCTTTGATATTCGATATGGGCTGGAAGGGATCCACGCCCAGTGACATCTACGTCCGGTGACATCCACGTCCGGCGACATCCACGCTGAGTGACATCCACGCAATGCGAATGATGCAAGAAATCTTTATTGCGAGAACTCGTGACGAAAGGGGGCGGGCGGGGCGGGGCGGGGCTGTGTGTCCACTTCGGGTTCTCTGACGTCAATGGGGAGAGGCGCGTAGAGGACTATTTTAGCTACGCCTTAATTATTCTCAAGAGGATTGCAGAAAAGCGCTGGAAAAATTTTTAGAATTTGATGAGAGAATTTCCGAAGGGAGAATGACTCCATCTCATTTTCGCGTGACTCGTTGGTAAGTGTATAAAAAAGAAAGGGAAGTCTTGCCGGGGGAAGAGGCTATGAGGTTGGTGCTCATTTCTTGAGGGTAGAAAAATCCTCACAACCATTCCTCATGCATAGTGCGTGTTTTCTTTTCCCTTAGAGAAAAAAGGGAAAGTATAGAAACGTCTTAAACTGATGATATTCTCTTACTACATCACACTCAACCTACGTTTTTCCCCCCATTTTAGGGGTAATCTGCTCGCAGCGCCATTCACAGTACAGTGCAAATCTCAACCGTGCAACGGAATTTCATCATTTCCCAGACCGTGCAAACGCGCCGAAGCCATTAAGAAAAGGCGTTGTAGGGAGCCGGCGGCGGCGGCGGCGGCCCGCTCGGGGGAGGCGGCGCGGCCCAGGAGGTCTTGGACCTGGGGACCCTCATCCCCTGGGAGTACACCTGGGAGTACCCGTGGGGGTACTCCGGTTGGGGCTGCACCCTGGGGTACCCCTGACCCGCGTCGTGCCACCCCTCGAGCAACTGCTTGGCGTCCTCCGGATCGGTCGTCCCCAGCCTCTGGAAATTCCCCATCACCACCACCCACAGGTAGGTCAGGATCCCTAAGATGGACGACGTGCGGTGAGACTCGCCTTTCGCTGATGCTTTTTATTTTCAGGCGCTTTGCTCCTAAAAGTTCCTGATGTCGACCCAACATTGCTTTGAACCATCGAGAGAGAGTTAAAATTCCTTAACGTTTTTACTCGTGATTCCGTTAGTCCACGGCGCAAATGGAATTTCGCAACGAGCTTAGATCTACCTATAGGTGACAAAAGTGGGTTGCGGATCGGACGCTTCCCACTCTGGAATGGAAACTTCGTGAAACTTCTATCTTTGCAAAACCTGAGCCGCGCGGATCCTCCAATTCATGGAGCAGTCGGCACTCACAGAATATGATGAACATGGCAAAGACGACCGGAATGGTGTATCCGTGATAGTCGTATCGAGCGAGGACCACCGCCGCGTATCCCAAGAAGAGCATGAGCCCCGTCTCGACCAGCGGGTGGACGACGAGCCAAGGCAGGTGCAGGTCCCTCACATTCTGCCGAAACCGAGAAGACCTGTCTCATTTTCCCCTCGTACGGATCGGCGCCGCGAAATGCGGATCGGCGCCGCGGACTCACGTTTTCGGCGGCGGAAAGGAGGGCGAGGGAGCTGAGGACGTACAAGGCCGCGAGGACGAGGGTCGTCATCATCACGCCGACGTATGCCCTGATTTAGAGAAACCAAAATTCAACACGAAATCCGCCGAAGGCGCGGGGTTTCTCATCGTTAAAGGGTCAAAGGTCAAAGGACAAGACTCGTGAAAGTATAAGTCGAGGGATCGGTCACTTAAGCCCGAAACCACTCGATCGAGTCACAGGCGGATTCACTTTCGATCCGCCGAGCAAAAATTCGCGAAAAATTCGCGAAAACTCGCGAAAATTCGAACATTTTAAGCCAAACTCGTGAACTCACTTGGGAAATTTCCCCATGCCCGTCGTCACGATGTTGTTCACCTCGAGACTGGAAAATATGAGGCTCGGAATCGCCACGACCTAGAGGAAAACGGCATTTCGTCGTACGTCCGCCATTGGGCTTTTTTTTCCGCGCTTGCGAACACTTACGAGGCAGAGAGTCGCGATGACGACGCTTCCTTTCCTGGTGGAGATGCAGCCGCAAAATGTTTGCACCCACACCATTTTTGCAAATTTTTTTTGGCAAAATGACCTTCTCGCTACCGGCGTTGGCGCTTCGACTGGGCTTCGCGATGAGAAACTCGCGGACCCCGTTATATCGACCTGTTACGCGCAGGTCCGGAGTTTCGTCATGTACGCCGTAATCGCCGCGGCAGGTGGGAACAAAGAGACCATGACAGTCATCCATTTCCCCCGGATCGATGAGGCAACATACCACTTTTTGCGTCACCATCATCATAAACACGGTTCCTGTGCGCTAATCTGCACACGCAGAGCAATGAACACGGTTCATTTATTATTGCCGTTATTCCCCCCGAATGTTCCAGCCTTTCTGATCCGAAAATCGATTCCGTTCGACAACTTGGGATCGCAGCGTTCCTTCATCTTGAATTCACCCAATATCGAAGGAGACGCGGCAAAACGCCTGGATCGTTCCCATTCCGAAGGAAGTATCCGGAAAATAAGGACGTGCCGCGACGGGCGAATCCCCTTTCGATCGCGGCCGGATGATTCGCGATCGCGGCCGGATGATTCGCGATCGCGAAGCACTAGACGATCCCTACGTCTCGTCGAATCGATCTCTATAAAAGGGCGGAGATCCCAACTTGGTTAAGAGATATATTTCATCTCGAGAATCGCCTGCAAAAAATAAGTCACCGAGCACTCCAACCTCTCACGAGCACTCCAACCTCTCACGAGCACTCCAGCCCGAACGCTCATGGAATCCTCGCATCGGACACGGCGGGGACAAACGTAGCAGTCCCATGGCGTCTGCCTTCCCGCGACCTTGACTACCGTCTACCAGTCAGGTTAACCAGCGTCCACGGCACGTCTTCCATGGGGAAATCCGCCTCGCGTTCATTCTCTTCTCCATTCCATCCTCGCCTTCATTCTTTGCAGCACGAGCTGCAGAGGATGAAGGAGTCGCTCCTGCTTCCATCTCTTGCGGCGCCTTCTCATTTCTTGCTGGCTCCTAGAGTCACACTGACGACAGCTTATACAGACGGTTTCGGTGCAAAATCTCCTTCCTATCGGTTCGGTCGCATCTTTTTCACGTTTCGGTTTTCTTGCCGCATCTGAGCCACGAGAAGACGTCGGTCGAACGGATCGCGTCGGTGTCCCGTCGTTCCGCCGTCTCTCGGTCGTTCGACTCAGAATAAGCCTTGGACCGTCTGTAGGTTTTTATTTGCAATTTTTTTTTCCACGGGAGCTCGCCTTTCAATGGGCGGGTTCCCCGAAACGCGATACAATCTTCGACCTATATCTCCTAGAGGCGTAGCTTGCACGGGGGCGACGTGAGAAGACATTCGGTGAAAACAAAGCGGAAATCTCTTTCAAATTGATCTACCGGCGTGAGATGTCCACTTTGTATGGTCATCGATTCGCCTGTGTTTTCTGCATTGGAGATGTCATCTCTGCATCCGAGAACGTTTGATAAACTGGGGAGTAATGCATTTTTCTTTCCGAGCTCAACATTTATACTGTTAAATATAATATTTATAGCTGTTTCCTACTTTTTAAAATTAAAACTTTCAAGTACGATATGGGGATTTTGCGTTTGACATTACGCGATGGACTACTGACGAACGGATCGAAGGCGGTCTGCCTGCATCCCCGAGAGTATCCATCGCATCGACCGACCCGTCAGACCGACAGAGACAGGCAACAGAGAAAGGCGACACCGCACAAACCAGAGAGAGACGAAGACGCACGCACGGGTTAGGGTTAGGGTTAGGGTTAGGGTTAGGGTTGTAGGCCCTGAGCGTCAGACGAAGGAAAAATGTAGATCAGATAGGCTGAAGTGTCACTTATAGCGCTAGAATCTCCAATCCATCCGCAGATCTTTCTTCCGCATTTCTATGGAAGTATGGGATTTCTACTTGTGATTGGTACGTATCTCCGTTTTGGGTACCCAGTGATGTCCGTCCAGTACTTCCCGGAAACCGAAAACAGCCTGTGATGTGCTCTTTCGTCCAAAGACCAGGCACCCAGTGCGTTTTCTGGCAAAAACTGCCGACATATTTCGACGAACGAGGTGCCGATCGCGTCAGGGACTCGCTATTGACCTTTTATGACCCTTATATTACCTTTTATAACCTTTTCGTTTTTTTTCAGCCCCGTGATGGCGCAAATTTTCGGGCGCGTTTGGCGAAACTGAGCGAACTAGATTATAGATCCCAATGGAATTCTGGATTGCTATAAAGTTCTTTTTGGGGTGCTTCCAGCAGAATTTGTGTCACGCTTCTGAGCCGACAAGTCGTGCAAATTCGAGCTTCCTTCGCCAATCTTTTGGCAAATTTTTGGGAAAAATTTTTGGCAAACCGAATTTATGGGTATGATCTTCCAGGTACATGCAAACTTCGGTTCTGAACGAAGCAGCAGCAATTGTCGTGAAAGGCAAAAGCTGCGAAATTAAACCGCTTAATATTAAGCCACTTAATATTAAACCCCTAATATTTACCTGAGGGGTCTTCTGACAGTTTGGAAGAAGGGAGAAAAGTTTTTTTTGCAAGGGATTGTTCCCAATGGGATCGTTCGTCTATCCATTACGGATTTGGCGGTCATGAGAATTGCGATTGGCCGTGTTTGGGGTCAAAAACCAGGACAAAGTTTCCAGGGACTCAGTCAAAAAAAAAAACATGGAGTTTTTGGACAGCGGCCAAGACGCCTACGAGAAACGAAGACTATTTGATGAAGAGATCGTGCAGCATTGCCGAAAAAAATGGATTAAGGGATTGAATTAAGGGATTAAAAAATGGATTGGGAATGTTAATCGGAAAGGACGAGATTGAAATTGAACCTTGGTGCTTTTTGAACCCGAATGCCCTCGGGGCAGCGCCGGAGACTACGCGAAGTAGAAACGAAAATCACTGAAGAGAAGCTGAATCTAGATGCGGGATTCCTCGAAGCAGAATCCGTGATAGGATTCACCCGAAATCTCTTCCCGTTCATTCGAATGGAATGGGTGTGACGCGAAGTGTGACGAGTGTGACACGAGTGCGACGCAAAGTGTGACGTGTGTGACGTCTGGTCGCACGAAAAAATGCGTTTCGGAAAATGGCCAACGAGGAGAGCCCCATTATCTGTTTCCTTGAAACAGGCCTCACGAGGAAGACTCAGACCTGTCGACGAACAGGAATTTCTCATTTTTGCGATTCGACCAGGCGGAGCCGTTATTTTTGCACGGCTCCTAGACACTATCGCAAATTGCAACTCGAGGGCGAGAAAACTAAGCACACGAAGAATAAATCGGCTCCAATTTTTTTCATTCTTTGAAATAAAAAAGCCCTTGCCTTGTCGCTCGACGATGCCGACTGGTCCGTGTCGACTGAACGAGCCCCCGTCGTCGCTCGGCGATCACAAGACAGATGGTGCGTGCGTAGCTGACGGTATTACCGAAAGGGGTTGGGGTTATGGTTGGGGTTGGGGTTATGGTTGGAGTTGGGGTTATGGTTGGGGTTGGGGTTATGGTTGGGGTTGGGGTTATGGTTTGGGTTATGGTTGGGGTTGGGGTTGGGAGGAGCTCTCTCCACGGTTTCACGGGGAGGAAATGGTGCCTTCCACTGGGAAAAATCGCATTGCGATAATTTAAAGATTGGAATTGCAGTAAATTTCCAAATCCTGATGGTCGGAATACGGAGGAAATATTATCATTCGGTGGTGCTTTCCCTTATTTTCGGGGAAGTAATACTCATAGATTTTATAAGCTCGTCCCAGCATGTGAACGGGCAAAATCACTCCTTTCCGTAAATGTTGGAATTTATTCGGAAAGGGTGCGGGAAGATCCGAGCAACTCAAGGCTTGGGGGTACGTGACGCACTGTCCTTAGATTCCGATCGACTTTCAAAGGGGCTGCGCCGTCGAAGGCGAAATTTGTTCGCTTCTGTTTGTCATGCAGCGACGATCGCGATCCGGACTTGGGAAGATTCCCTGAAAACAAAGCAATCGCGCAATAATTCGGCATTGAAGATATTCTTCTTGATGCAAAAATATGCACCGAACGCCAGATTAGCGACATCTCCGCGAAACGATTCCGCTTTCCCGGTGATAAACAATCGAACTCGTTCGTGTCGTTCCCCGAAGACGGGTCGGAACGAGAAATCGGAGATCTTCCTGACAAGGAACCATAAAAAGGAGGCACGAGCTCCCTCAGAAGGCTCGAATGAAAGCGCTGCATTCCCGTCCTTCCGTGTGCACCTCGTCGGCAGTCATGAAGGTGAGTCGTTGAGAGGGGGGAATGAACCTTTCATCGCGACGAAACCGCATAATTAATTATTATCAAGTTACCTCCTCATGCAGCCGTTTCTCGCTCTATTTTTTCACAAAGAGCATTCCAGCCGGCTTCCTTTCGCGTCTTCCCCAGGCCGATCGGGACCAGGATTCAGCATAGGACTCGAGTCGATTGCTACCTTCTGCTTTATAATATATATGGATGGTCGTGACCGTGTGGATGACGGAGGTAATTCTAACCATGTCCTAGAGATGATGAAACTTGGTACACGCATTACTGCTGGATTGCTGATAACCAGATATAGCCAACTTTGGGGGTGAATGCCCTGGGGCCACCGATTTTGTAAGCCAGAGCCAACCCCAGGGACGGACGCTTAGGCCTAAACCATTCTCTTACACTCACTCGCGTTCCTTCCAGTTTCGTAGAAGTCTGCTAACTTGCCGCCTCCAGAGAATGTGGAGCGCGTCCAGCTTCGGAGGTACATGCGTTGGAGGCACATTTCCTCCCGGAGGAAGGGGGCTGATTTCGTAGGCCTGGGCCTAACCCGCGGATGGATGTTAAGGCTCGCACTACTCTCGTATCATTGAGTTGACTATAACTCGAGGCGGCGCTCACGAACCCCATTCATTGACAGGGTCGGATTGTACAGGGTGGCCCAGAAAAGGGCACTCTTTACAAATAGCATTTTAGGTGTGATGCTCTCAAGGATATTTTCTTGGTTAAATGTAATGGAAAAAGAACTCAGCTACAAAACGCCAATTTTTCGTAACCG